GGGCAGGAAAAAGTGGCCTTGGAGTGAAGGAATTCCAGGAAATGAGCAAAATCAAGACAGTCTGGCCTATTTCAGGAACTATAGGGAGTCTGATATTACTAAAGTATAGAAAGGAAAAGTGATGAAAGATGATGTCGGAGAAAAAGAAATGAGGGCCAGATCATATGTGATATGCGCAACAATGTGTCATTTACCCAAGATTATCAGGGAGCAAACATGAGGTTTAAATTGAATAGCTCCAGGCTGGAAACCCAACTCCATCATTTTGGTTCATGGGTCTCTGAACTTCCACATCCTCATTTATAACAAGGAACATACCATAAACCGACATCATAGAACTGCTCTGGGGACAGAAGAAAACGTGTTTAAGTGATTAGAAGTGGGCCTGACACATTTTATGTCCTATAAATGTCACTGATAGATTTGTGCTATTATGATCCTTGGTAAAGTTTTTTTTCCACATTTGTAAATATGCAACATAATCATAGCTAATTTTCTTAAACATCAAAGCTTCTTAAATTGTTGTTTTCCTAATCTATTGTTTCAAAGTAAACTCCACAAATCTCTAACTGAGAAACACCAAATTTACAGCTCACATACACAGAAAGCTGCACCTACCTCGCACCTACCTCTCACCCCGTCTGCCCCTAATGCCCTTCTGTTGCCACCAGGGCAGCTGTGACAACATCTGAAGCTTTTAACATCCATGGATTGAAAAGTAGGGAAAGAAAAGAAGCCATGTGAAGACGGAACAGCTTACAGCAGTATTTTGTTGAGAATTTGGACACAGTTACCACCCATTGAGTTAACAAAATTTTTTTAAAAATCATTTTCCTGAATTATCCCTAATTCCCTGTCCCCAGATCTACTGGTAATAGTAATGTGCTGTTCCTGCTGACAGCTGACAGTCAGTACCCGCTGAATAGTTGAATGTTAGTCCATTTTTCATCAGCCATCACTTAAATACATTCAGAGACTGGGACCTGGACCTGGCTTCTTCTTCCTTCCCAGTCTACCGCCTTTCTACCAAGGTTTCCATGGGTGACCTGATAACTTTCCACATAGGCAATGTGCCAGCATTTCCAAACCTCTCTGCCTTCACCCTTGCTGTTCTCTCTGCCTGGAACACCCTTTCACCCTCACCTCTTAACACTATCCTTACAAGGCTTAGGACAAGCACCACCTCCTCTCTGAACTCTCATTTCCCTTCCCTGGAGAATTAAATGGCATGTTCTACGAACTTGCCCAGCACTTGGCGCACTATTTCTATGGCTACAATGGCCCCGTATCACACAGAGATGTGACAAGTACCACTCTAGGTGCTTTCTGTATGCTTTCAAGTGGCTTTATTACAAAGCCCACTTTGTAAATGGAAAATCCACACTCTGAGAGTTGAACTCACCAGTGATCACATAACTAGAAAGGGACATGACCAGAAATCCAACCATGATCTGACAGTTCCCTAAGTATTTCACCCTGCCATGTGGCCTTTCTTTGATGGCCTATTTCCACTTGATTAAATGTATAACCAATATATAATCCCAATATGGGATTATAGTAAATCTCATTGGACTATTGTAAATCCTTTGGTGGCAGAGACTAGGGCATGTCTATCTTTTATAAATGTGGATAATACCCGTTTATGCAAAGTTCTTGTGGAGATTAAATGTGACAATACATATAAGCACTTACAGTGCCAGACAGATAGTAAGTCCTTAACCATTCGTGGGTTTCACTCTTGCCATTGTTGTTGCCATGTCTGATGCCAAAAATAAAGCCTTGCAAATATACTCAAGCTGAGGCTCCTCTCTGAGGAGGAGAAATGGGTAAGGGTATAATGGGATAAGCAAACGCTGCTTTGATTTGGCATTTCCCACACTACTTGACTAACTACTCGATCTGAAGCAACAAGAGATATGAAAGCTTTGCTTTGGGGTTATCTGATGCCTTAATCTTTCTATCACTATGTGAATACTAGGCAAACTTCCTATCTAGTTCCAAACCCTTGCAGCTTTGTGACTTTCTTACTGCCATTTCTTATGCAGTCTGCTAGGTTCTCATCTGAAAAGTCAATACATAGGTTCTGGGCTAGAAGAAGAAGAAAATCACAGATTTAAATGGAAGTACAAATGGCAAAATGAAATCCAAAGGGGCTAGGGTGTAGTTCAAGGAGAGAGCACTTGTCTAGCATGTGTGAGACCCTGGGTACTGATCCCCAGCACTGCAAAAAAAAAAAAATTATAAATTTAAATCTGAAATCCTGGCAAAAACACTCTTTTGTCTTGATAACATTAAGGCAATACTTCAACTTCCCATGCGTGTTTGTTTGTTTTTGTCAGTCAGCCCCTAGTTAGACGGAAGCTCACTTAGTGGGGGCAGTCTTCCATCCCATACACTCCTATCCTCCCGGCCTAACACATACGTAGCATGTTCTAATCACTTACACTGATGGAGTAACTGAAATATTTCTGTGTGTGTGTGTTTACATCCACACACCTATATATGTGTACATACACATGACATCATTGCACGATTTATAAATAAATGTTCATCTATCTCCACATAGACACATTGTATATTTGTTTACATATATTTCTATTTGTGCAGATATTTCAAACTAGAGAAAGATATTCGTTTGCCAAAGTTATACCTTAATATAATAAATGCTTCTGGCTAACCTGTGTGATACTTAATAGATATATACTACTACCCATATGCTAGTAATTCAGCTGTTTAAAAGAATGAATCTCAATAAGTATTCAAAGTAAAACAAATGTTTGACTTAACAAATATGAAACTTATCTCTCAAAACTCCTATCTCTGTTAATTAAGTGATGTGACTAGGTAGGGTAGGTATGGACAGATATTGTTTCTCTATAAATTCGACAGGCAAAATATTCCAAATTCTCATGAAAAGGCCAGATGTCCTTATTTAGGTTGTAACATACACTGGAAATTTTAATGATTATTAAGACAAACATTTTCTGGGTACAATGTACTGGACACTTGGCATCAATTTTTTTTTAAACTTTATGACAACCCTGCAAGGCAGATGTCATTATCCCTATTTTATAGACAACAAAGCTAAGACTCAAAGAGAGGGTAACTTGCCAAAGATATTCTGCATTTTATCATGTCCTGGCACAGGCAATGTACAAATTCAGGATTCTAACCTGAAGCTCAGATTCTTTCCAATAGGCAATAGTGTCTCTTTCATAGTTTTACAGACACTAATTTTGAGAGATGTGTTTTTAGGTAGTTTTTATAGTGTTGAATTTTAATAAGTAATTCTCGGCATCTAGAAACCAGACTAAATGACAAACACTGAAGATTACTCCAGGCTAAAGACAGCAAGGATCAAATGTGTCTCAGCAACCATCAGTCTGTATTTATCAGAATAGGAAGCCTTTTCCACTTAATTGTGTCCTCTAAAAAGAGTCTATTCTCGAACAGAGCTTCATTATTTCTCCTTCTATATATACAGAAAATGGACCCTTTCATTGCAAACCAATGGGAAGTTCTTAACTCATTTCTGTATATTACTTGGAATAAAGTGCTTCCTGTCTTCAGAGAAAAGAATTGCTAGGTGCTATGCCTTTTGCCTGCTTCTCAGTCCAACAATCAATATTGTGAAGGCGAGAGAAAATTAACCCTGATGTACTTTTAAGGAGAGTGGGGTTATTTTTTAAAACTTAATGATGGTAAAGTTACAAAGGGAAAGGAGTCTTCCTTCCCATTTAAGGAAAACTCAGCTGCCTTCCTCTGGAAGAAATGGCTATATCATCTCTCTGACCTTTCCAGGAGCAGGCCTGAGACAGAGAGAAACCATATATTGTACAAGTTTTTTTTAAAATGAATAGACGCTTCTGGACATTTGTAAGTAATGCAGTGAAAAATGTTTATATTGGCTCTCACCTGGCTAGAACCATCCTCTGAAGAGCAGAGGAAAGCCCTCCTCACTCAGACCTGCACAATCAGAAGAGCCAACTTCAGCATCTTCAGCCCTAGGGACTGAAGGGGAAAGGGACCCCTCCCAGTGATTGAAGTAGTTTGTTCCCTCTGCTGGGGAAGGCAGAAGCAGGCAGCTCTGCCTTTTCTTTCATCTAGCTAGCTACATTATTCCTGCTGCCAGGAACTTATTTTCAGAGCCTTACACTAAAATTCCCCCAAAGGAGGGGAAACTACTAGGCACACAGAGTGCTGATTTCCAACCTGGTTTGGTCTTTTGTTTTCTGATTTCAAGTCCCTATCTAAAGTACATCTCCCATCTTCCAGAAGTATCCACATGTCTAAGCCAAGAAAAGGAGCTGGGAGCTTTGAAGCTTTAAAGTGCTGAAAATTTCAGCACTCACTCTTCAAAGATAATGACCTTGGGTAACTCATCCTTCCAAAGAATCAGTTTGTGGTCTCCATAAGAGGTGAAAATATCTGTTAGTTAGAAAGTTGTTGAGATTTCAACATAACAATTGCAGAGTTCTGGCTCTTAGTAGAAGGTCAGCAAGTGCTCTGTATTTGCCGTGGGTACACTGCGCAAAGAAAGGGGAACCTAGTGGGTGTCCATGTTTTCACTGTCCAAGGTTTGCCCATCACTCTGCATTGATTTATGCCACGAATTGCTCACCTAACCTTGGGAAGACACTTCTTACCTGCTTCTAGTTCGCTTTAGCTTCAAATATCTTCAGAGCCCAAGAAATAAATTCTTATTAAGTACAAAGGACTAAGTTATCCCACCAGTTATGGGCAATTGTTACAACTCAGTCTTGGGAAGAAATGAGTATAGTCTTTACATAGGCAAAGCAGGTGTCTGTATCTCTCTTGGGGTAAGAGGTGGGAAATAGACCCTACCTAGTCTCCAAGTCGGGAACAGCACAAAGGGGATTGGAACAAGAAAGCCTGGATGAAAGGAAAGCCTCTGCCAGACGGTCCTTGTCGGGGACCCTGTCCTCAGCGCACCGGGAGGAAAGGACGCTAGAGGGGAGGAGCCCCAAGGGCAGGAGTACCTGAAGATTCTGGCTGCTGTCTGGTTCCTCTTCCACGCTGTGCCCTGTTGCAGCACCCCCTGCACGATCTCCTTTTCGTTGGGCAGCCGGTAGACTGGGAAGATGTAGAGCCAACAGAGGACCACAACGCAGAGGGCACTGGCTCCCACCGGCAGCCGGGTACGCGGGAACTTCCACGCCAGTATGGCCATGGCCCCTCTGGACGTGTGTCGCCGGGCCTGCCCGCAGGGGTTCATCGCAGCCCCGGCGTCCCAAGGATGGGGGCCGGAGCCTCAGTATAACGTTAGGCACAGTGGCAGCGGAGGGTGCCCCCACCGCGGCCCCCCATACACACACACCTTTTGCTTTCTTGCTTGCACAGGCACGCACACTGCTTCGGCCCCCACGGCCCCAAAGGTCAGCACACGGATTTCTGATAATGCAACTTTTTCCAGTATTTCTTTCTATGGGAAGTGGCCGGCAGATAAGTCACGAGCTACAGTCATGGTCGTTCCCTGCAGAAGGTGGGCGCTGGGGGTCTCCAAGAACCGAGAGAGCGGCGGCAGCGAGTCGCTCCTACCAGTTCTATAGCATCACAGTAGCCCTCCGCGAGGGTCCGAGAAAAGGCGCGGCTGGCTCTCAGACATTTGGCTCGCAGCGGCGTCCCCTTCTGAGAGATGCTCCTTCGCCCTTCGCCGCCTCTCCCCGCCTCCTGCGCTGCTGCGCCGCCAGGCACCCCCCCCCCCAGACGCGCTCTCCGCGCCGCGCCAAGTCCTTGGAAATTTCCACCTCGGCCCGGGACCGCTATCCTGCCCCTGGCTTCTCGGCCTCACCCGCCAGGACCCTCGCTCCCCACCCCTCCCGGAGAAGAAAAGAACTCGGTCTCATCAGTTAATTCAGCCGCGCGCCGCAGCCTTCCGCTGCGCCCCGGACTTCGCAGACAAACGCCCCGGGATTGGTGGAAATCAAGGTCTCCCCCGCCCTCCCCCACCCGCAAAATTGCCTCCTTCGACCAGTTCAGATCCGCGAAGCTCGCCCAGCGCGCGCACCCTTCTCTCTTGCCCTTGTTCTCTGGAGATAGAGGCAGACAATAAAAACAGCAGCTCCCTTAAAAATACATATATATTCCCCGAGTGTGGCAGAAACTGGCTGACATTCCCAGCCCTTCGATGCGCGGCTAGTGGGTCGGGGCTGCTGCTGTCACCCTCCTGTAAGTGGTTGGTTATTGACCCGCAGCGAGTCGCGCGGAAGCCAGCGGAGATTTATTCCTTCCCGGGCCCCTAACCCCATTAACCGGTCCCGTAGCCGCAGATCTAGCAGACATCCCAATTTCCGTGCGCGCTTGCGCGCGGGGACACACACACACACACACACACACACACACACACACACACACACACGAAGACACACTCCCCACTCCCGATGCTCACGGGCGCGAGCGAGCGCGCGCATGTGGAGGTGCGTGCACACCCGGTGCTCGCCTCGGCCCTGCAGGGAAAGACATTGCTGCATCCAGATAAGCAGGCGGCTGGTGCCCTAGCACGCAGACCTCGGACGTGAAATGCCTCGGAGGAGGGTTCCCTTCCTCGGTCTTGTAGATTAAAGGACTGTTATTTATTCTTAGCAATGCTTCTCGCTCCCGGAATAAGCTTCACGGCTCCCTAGACCTTGGAAGAGTGCCTCTCTCCTGGACCTGCCTAGCCCAGAGAGCCAGTATTGGCCATTTCTTCTCTTCGGAACCGCAAACACATATCTCGGGTACCTCCTAGCGGTTGCCTATTCTATTTGCTTAAGCATCTTGTCAAGCATAAAATGTGCAAGGACAAAGAAGAAACTCTGCAGCCTGCGAACCCGGTCAGCTTAGTCATCGCGAAACCAAAATGCAAGGCCATATTCCATTTGCTCAGCTGATGAAGCTTCCGTGCCTGGGACAGCCTACACTGACTGCTAGGCGGCCTGGGCTCTTTTTCTAGCATCTTTCTCAATCAAGAGGTGGAACTTGAGAACTTGGTGCAAAGTTATTTATTAAACACGAAGTAGGATACCAAATGACTGTAGTGTCATTCCCTCAACAATACTGTGCTCTCTTAAGACAATGACCCACTGCCCTCCATTGGCAAGCATGTCCCAGAAATCTCTCTCCTACTTAGGTCAATCCATAGTCACAAGAGAAATCTTGAAATCCCAAAGCTACATCTTACCACAGTGGAGCTTAAGAGATTCTTTCAAATGAAGATCACCTCAAGTCCTACAAAGTAACCAGCCAGCCCTCTTTTGTTCTAGAGACCAAGAAGGGGGAATAAGGGAAACTTCTTCAGTTGCCAGAACTTGGATAAATCACTCACCACTTTTCCCTCCTATATTTTATATAAAACACAAGCCATCCCAATTTCTCTTTTCTTCCCCAAGTCCAAAGGATACTTGTGAAGTAAATAAAACAAGCCAACAAATGAAAATAAGATATATTACATTTATGAAGGTTATAATAGTAATTGTGTTGAATGGGGAAATATTTATGTGGCAATTAACTGCAATGTGCTGTTTTCCTTTCTTGTTGTCTCTTGCCCCTCTTTGCAGTTCAAATATATTCTCTGATTTTCCTTAGCATGTGGCATGGATTGGCTATGAAGTGTCCCCCCAAAGCCACTGTGTTAATGCAGGAATGATCAGAGATGAAAGGATTAGATTATGAGAGCTGTAATCTAATCAGCTGATTAATTCATTTGATGGAAGTAAGTATAGGGGTGGGTGCTGCCCTTGGAGATTACATCTTGTCCCCTGGATTCCTTTTCTCTCTCTCTCTCTCTCTCTCTCTCTCTCTCTCTCTCTCTCTCTCTCTCTCTCTCATCTGCTCCTGCTTTCTGACTGTCCTGACTGAACAACTTTCCTCCCCCATCTTCTTTCACCACCATGATGTTTTGCCTCATCTTGAACCCAGAGCGATGAAACTGAACCTGTGAAACTGAGTTCAAGGTAAATTTTTTCTTCAAAAAGTTACTCTGGTTAGGTATTTTGGTTACAGCCATGGAAAGCTAACACTGCATGAATGCCAAATTTAATCAAGCCATTCCCTTCACCCTTCTAAGTACCAGAGGGACCATTTCTGTCACTATTGTAATCCATATGCCTGGAATGTATCTTTTCTCTCTCTCCATACAAATCCAATGCAATATTCAAAGCCAGGCCAATTAGCCATGAATTTCTCATTCAATGATGTGTTTCCAGACCACCTAAACTATGGTTTCATGGGGTAGGAACTCAATAAACATTTGTAGTTTCTCCTCCTGTTTCCTTTGACCTCCTACTCCAAATGCATATAGAATTTGCTGACTCTGATAATTGATTAGACACTTAAATGAGTTGTGTTGTGTTGCAAGCATTTTTCATATGTAACTTTGCCTCAGCCACTGAGTAATAAAAGTATTTGGTCTCAAATATCAAGTGACAAGCCTGTGTTTTTAATATAAATTAGGACACAAATGTCATGTCTACATGTTTTGGGGAAGAACAAGAACAATATTTTATTTTAGTTATGTTCCTCCAGGTACCAACTCAGATCTGACAACATAACATACTCAAAAATAATTGTTACTTGAGTGTATAAAATTTACAGGTTCAAATTTGCTTAGACCATTGATAATGCAGCATTGTTTAAGGCAAAGTCTAAATACCCAAGTGTTACTATTTTAAATTAAATCTGTTACCTGACTTATATGACTTTTAGTAAGTGGCTTTGGTATCCTTTTATACTTATGCTTATGAATGCAGTTAGAGGACACAAATAGGTTTTTCCCAGGGACTGAAAAGCACTTAAAACTGTATATAAGTGAGGGACTGGGGCTGTGGCTCAGCAGTAGCACACTTACCTGGCATGTGTGAGGCACTATGTTCGATTCTCAACATCACATACAAATAAATAAAATAAATAAAGGTCAATAACTAAAAAATATTTTTTTAAAAAATAAAATAAATAAATAAAGTTCTATCAACAACTAAAAAAGTATTGTTTTAAAAAAAAACTGTGTAGGTGTTTATTAGAAAAATATAGAGGCAGGAGTGCCACAAAATGAGCCCAAGCTTTAGGATCAGACTGGACTGGCTCAAATTTCATTTCTGTCACTTACTAGCTCTGGATTTTGAGCTATTAGAGAAACTCTGAGCTTTGTTTTCCCCACATTTGTAATAATAATAATATTCACTTTGTTATTGTGAAATACACACCTAAATGATAATCAGCAGAAGTAATTCATGACTACTATCTTACCAATGTCCCCAATCTTCTTTTAGAACAATGTAAGAGTGGAAGGAAGAATATTCTAATGTATTTAGTCCTAACAAATACAATAATGTTGATATAAATACTCCCTTGATAATATTGTATTATCACTATCCTGTCTACCACAACCATTCAGCAGCTCATAAAAGGTCCTACAAGCACGAAAGACTTTTCTCTCTGTGTAAAACTATTACTTGCCTTTGTAAGTAACCTATTGAACCAGTAAAAACGTACTACTTTATTCTTTAGGTAAACTTGATGCGAACTTTTGCAATATTAGAGTTGAGGCATCAGCCAGCATAAGAGGCAGAACCACTAAAGAATTGTAACAGAGAGAAAGAAGCAATCATTGAGGTGAACAGAGAGACTGAAATGGAGAAAGCTGATCAGAGTGAATGGGACACAGTCATTTACAAGCTAGTTTGAGTACAAACATACCTGAAGACAAATATTAATAGTCACACAGAAAAAAGTCTCTCATTAAAAAAGTAAATAAAGCTGGATATGGTGGTATACACCCGTAATCTCAGTGGTTCAAAAGGCTGAGGCAGGATGATTCACAGCTTCAGCAATTTAGCGAGGTCCTAAGCAATTCAAAATAAAAAATAAAAAGGGCTGGGGATGTGCCTCAGAGGTTAAGCACTCCTGGGTTCAATCCCTAGAACACACACACACACACACACACACACACACAAATTTAAATTAAATTATCAATTACTTGAGATTAAAATTTTCTTGCCAAAATGGCTTGGAATGGAGAGACAAAATCATGAAGTCATGACTTCCCAAATTAGTTAAAACACCAAGGCAGAGAAAGTTGTAGATGGAGAAAGATTGAATATAGTTTATCTGAGAAAATATATTTGTTTATTTCCACCCCCTACTAGGACCCTGCTAAAGACAGTAAAGGAGAAAAGAAGAATAAACTCACAAGAGCAAGAGACAAGGAAGGGATACAAAGGCAGACAGCTGATATCAAAAAGTTCACAAACAGGAAAATGATTGAACGAGTGATGACTGCTTTATAGGAATGGAGAAAGCTCTGGGCCTCCTGGTGATGCTGTGCTTGTGTGCACACGTGAGCATGTGGGTGCATATGTGTTTTTGCATGGGAGGGGGTGCCTGTGGGCCTATGAGCAAGTCATCAAGAGCCAAGCGAAATTGTACTACACAACCTAGAAAGGCTTAGAAATTAGAGGCACTAGGGACTCTGCAGGTGGCAACAATGAATGAAACACAGTAAAAGGTTTGTTTGAAAGTCTTTAAAAAGAACTGAGAAGCTTCTAGATCTCATCCACCAATCTAGTTTGAAATAGGAAGTTAACTCTCTAGAGAGATGTACCAGCACAAAAAAGAAGACCTTACAGATTCATCCCTGTTGTATCCCTGCCTGACACCAAGCCTGCCCTTCCGCACACTGTGCTCTAC